CAACCAAATACCAAACACAAGAGTCCAAACCTGCTCCTAACTTGTACAAAAATAGGCAAAATAAAACTGTATCAAAAAAGCAGTAAAGCATGGCAACTAATCGGTTGAAAATTCATGCTATCTTTCCCCCCCCCCCCCCCCCCCCCAAAAAAAAAAAACCCTTCTTTTCACAGTAACAAGGACAGACAAAAAAAATATAGTCGAATGAGGGGGAATAATGTTCAGAAAACAAAACATAGAGGGTAACAGCTCAAACCAAAAAAAATCCTAAATCCAAATATCATCATCTTCTTCATTACCAAAACCCCTTCAAAAAATTGTAAAGAGAAAACTATTCACAGATACAAATGCAGAACACACAAAACCCTAAATCTGTTTCTTTCATCATTTTCCTTAAAGTTAAATCCTTTCAGAAATTCGAAAATAAGAACAAGGAAGAAGAGAAACGCAGATTTCAGAGAAATTCAAAGCAACACAAAATCCCTAATTGGAGAGATCTCACTGAAAGCCTCAGAAGGTTGTAAAAATCATGCATCTCAAAAGCATTGCGCCTTCTTCTTTCCTTTTCCTTCTTCCTTTCTCCTTTCCTTTCTTTATTTCTCGCTTTTCTGTAAATATTTGTTAATCTTTGAGCTAGGGTTTGCAAACACTTTCAAGATCTATAACAGATCTTATTTTCCTGTAGAAATCGAACATGACACAATTAATAATCACAAGAAACTAATAGGAACCATAGAAATTGGGTAGAGATCGAACAAATTGAAAAGGGAACAAAGAGAAATTTGGTTCACGGTGGTGCCGCCACCACTTTCACCAACACCACTGCATTTTGTACGCAGATGAGAGAGAGAGAGAGAGAGAGAGAGAGAGAGAGAGAGAGAGAGAGAGAGAGAGAGAGAGAGAGAGAGAGAGAGATTAGGAAGAATTAAAAACAGAACCATACGAAGAACTCAGTTGAAACACAATAGCAATGGGGATGTAAGGAAGAGAGATAAAGTGTCGTTTAAGAGAGAAGAGGAATATTGAAATTAAAACGAGTGAGTATGTTTAGGTTTAGTTAATTGTTATTGTTTAATTAAATATTAGGTTAGTTAAATAATAAGTTTAATATTAATAACACATAGATTTAGGTTAATCTTAGTTAGGTAGTAGGTTTAGGATTAGTAATTTGTAGGTTTAAACTTAATTAGTGTTAAGACTCTAGGTTTAGTTCTTAGATTATTAGCTTTTTTATTTCAATAATCTAGTTTTATTATGGTTATTATTTAATTATGATTTGTTTAGGGATAATGTTAAATTAATTTGGACTATGATTGGTTGAATGTGCTTTTATATGATATTGCTGACAATTTTTGAGTTAATATGTGATTAAGAAAAACAAAGCCTCTCCCTAGTCCTATGCATTCTCCTCATCAATCATGTGATACACCATCAAGCCATTACCATCAGATCAAGATCCAACGCTCCAAACAGGCATCCCTATAATAGACCCAATGAATTTCTCACACAGGATCCACGAATTTCTTCGTGAGCCTAAGTTGTATGCTTTCAACACCATCCATGTTTACTTCAATTTCAGGCCCATTTCTTTTTCTTTCTATTTCTTTTATTTAATTATTTTTTTCCTTCATTTTATTTAAATTACAAAATATGTCTGTTTAAGTAATTAATTAAATTGAGGAATATTATTTAATATTATTAATTAATTAATTAATTGTATTAAATATAATTATTTTATTTAATTAGTTATTTAAATTATTTCAATTGGGTTATATTGCTAAATTATTTATACTTTTAATCGAACTTTCGATTCGATACATCCTCATTCATAAACTTATACCCCCATTCCCATATTATTGTAATAACTTAGGATTTATTTTCTTGTGTGTGTTTTATATTTTGTTTAATTATGCATATATCATTCAATTAGAACACATGGCCTCCTCTTGAGCCCCTCACCAATGAGCAGGTATACGCCTACAAGTGCACACTTGCGCATATTCATAGCTTGGTCCTTGGCTTTCCTACAGCGAAAACTATTCGATCGATTGTTCCAATTGGTTATTTAGAATACTAGCGACACGCCAATCCCATTTTTTAGGAGCATGCATAAAGCCAACTTGTATGGGCTTGTTTGATTTTTTATCTTGTGCATTGAGTTAACTTTTTATCTCCTTATCTCAATAATTGAAAACTTATCTCCTCTTGGTCCATATACCAAGCTTTCCTAAAGGATCTCATAGTTGAGTATGGGCATGGCTATTCTCACGAGATTAGTCGAAGTCTTTTCTTGCATCAATTAATCATAACCGGAATCAATTATTTTGGTCCATACACCAAGTGTTCCATGTAAGAGGGTCTCGTGGTTGAGAGTAGAATCACCTATTCTCACGAGATTAATCAAATATAGCCTTTGGTTAATCATAACCCGATTAAACTCCATTGATTCGTACACCAAGCATTCCAATAATTCTTTTCATGATATTAATCATTTTGTTTTTTTCCATGATTTTGCAATCGATTATTGACGCGACCCTTGTGCGCTTGAGTATTAATTTGGTTGATCATCAGGAAAGTTCCCACAAGTTTTTGAGATTATCGTATGCATTTGAAGAGGCAACAGACCTCCTCTATTTGGTATCATTGTAGCTCTCTTTATTTCTCATTCTTGCATCGCTTTTCAATCAATATTAATCATTACCTTACTTGTCTTAAACTTTTGCACCAAGAGCCCCAAGCCTCTATTGCATAACCTTTTCACATCATTTGAGACTTCACTCCTCACTATACATGATCACTCTCCACAAACACAAGTCTCCTATTGTTTGATGCTTACTTTCTTTTTCTTCTTTGAATAACATGTTCCCTAAGGATGTTAGTTTCATCTTCTTCAAGATGTGAATTAATTAGACAATAGGTTCTTATCCATGCTGCTAACTTAGGTAGAAGTTTCCCTTTCAAAACCTAACCTTAGGGCCATCATTGTACGATAACATTAGGGCTAGAACTAGGTTAGTATCCCTTAGACTTTTTCTTTTGCATTGCATATTTCCTAATCTAAAACAAAAATTTCTTTCCTTAATAGAAAACCCAAAAAACACTTAATCGTTATTCAAACTCATTTCACTTAACAAAAACACTCAACAAATTAAATATTTCTTCAAAGGGCATGGTATCTCTGTTCTACTGCGATACAGGTCATGCATATTGCTAGAATGTGTGTGTTAACGTCGCCCACTAAAAAACACCAACAAAACAACATTTTCTAGAAGAACTACAATATTTTGATTCCTTCACGGGATACGTAGGAAAAGGGTTCTGAGACCCTCACTGACGCACTAATAAAAAATCATTTCATTCTCTTTAGCAAGTATAGTTATAGATAGACACATCCTTAGAAGCAAATAATCAAAATTGATCCCTTTGAGTACAACGGATGTGAGGGGTGCTAATATCTTCCCCTCGCATAATCGACTCCAGTACCCTCTCTTTTGGTTGCTAGACCATCTTATCCATCCTCTTATGGTTTTCTCTATATTTCCCCTTCCTTCGGAAAAATAAAGTTTGGTGGTGGCTCTGTGTTTTTTGTCGGCCACTTTAACAGTCAAGACATAGACTCATTCTAGAACATCATTCAGATACAATCAAGACATAAGATTCATTCTGACACTCACCAATGCGTTTGCTTGATACAGTCGGACACAAGACTCATTCTAGTATATTTTTTCAGATATAGTCGGGCATAGACTCATTCTGATACTCCTATCAACATTTACTTCATATGGCATCTATAAGCCCATCTCCGACAGTATTTTGTCACCTCTCTGAACGGTATCTTTAAGCTCGTTCAAGTAGTACAATCAACCAACAGTGTTACTTCGTGCACATGTGAGGTCAAATTTCTAGGCACTTAGGTGTCCAATCCTCTTCCACCTTCGGATTACAAATGGCGAACATGCCAATCTAATTCTTCAGGTTTAAGAAGATTGAACATGGGCAGCTGTTGTACCCCAAAATTTACCCTCCCATCTATTTTACCCCAAAATTTTCCCTCATAATTGTACCTTTATCTGGCTTAGGCTTTTATACTCATATGCACATATACCATTAGGTCGCTAAAATAGTATACATTTTTATTCAATAAAGCGCCTAAGGTTCAAAATTCATTGGTTGTGTGAGCTAGGGTTTTCATGGTGTTCTGAGATGCACATATCGAATAATATTGATTCGTCTGTTTCTCCTCCGAGCATTGAATTTAAAAATTAAGGTTTCTCTGGCTTTGAGGTTTTCCTTTCCATTCGAGGGTCGTCAATGTGTTCCTTCATCAACTTTGGTCTGAAGAATTAGGGTTTGTGATTTTGACAATTGAAGACTTATTTCTTTCTCATCAATGATTCTAACTGAGAAGACTGCGAACTATGGCTTTGATGATAAGCAATGTCTTTATTCAACACATACCTTAAGAAGGTTAGGGTTTATATCCTATCATACTTGAGTTTGTCAACATTTTCACTAGATGTTCATTGGATAGCAGGGCATGATATAAGGACTGATGTTGTGAAGGTCATTATCATTCTCATTTGTTTGATCACTTAAGTAGCAAGTTAATTTGGATTTATGGATTGAAAGTAAGGTTTCTGCAAAACATTACAATTCGTTCAAAATGTTGGAGGTAAAGAATGATCAGAAGTTCCAATGTACTTTGAAAGGGAAAGTCTCTTTGAATATTGAGATTGTATCATTTAAATCTTTAAGATTCACTTATTCATTCACAAGTTCACAAGATGGTAAATACCAACACATTCATTATTCATCCAAAATGTTATGAGCATTAATCAAAAGAGATGGGAATTTCGAATTCAATTTGGGGAGAAAATACTTTAAATATTTGAAGGGATTATCATTGAATTTCAAATGCATTGTAAAGTGTTCCGATACCATTACATCTTCGTTCAAAGATTACAACATTCGTTCATTACAAGAGAAGTACAATTCCAATCATGGCCATTTACAAAACCACACGCAAAAAATATTACATGGAAAAACTATCAAAACTTAAACCCAGTCTCCAATCTTTCTTCATACAAATTCCATCTTCAAATCCTTGCCATAACTCCATAATTTTGTATCTTCAAAATTTCCTCTTCAAGCTTCTAAAAAATTGTCTATTCCTGTGTTCAAGACCAGGCCTGCCAATTAATCAAATGCAACCCTAACCTATACATAAAACCAGATTAGTTTCTCTACCAAAAATAGAAAAATGCTTCAAAATGATTCATGCTGCCAAAACTAGATAATTCAAAAAAACATGTCCAAAATTGTTAACAGAAACCAGAAAATTCAAAGAAGATCTAGTTACCAAGCAGAATTTCTAACAGCTTATCAGTTCTTAATATTAACAGAAGTTTCAGAACCAGTAATTTCTAACAGATTACTAGCTAAATCTAACTAGTTATACTTGATTCTCCAGTCCGCAATTACGTTTAACCTTGCCATTCATTCCTCTAATTGGTTATAAATTACCAAAACCATGTCAACTCATTAACAACAATAACTATAACAGAAAACTAACGTTCTCATTTTTATAACAGATTTCTAGACCTCTCTAACCGCCTAATCGATACCCTTCAATTCCCTAACAGAAATCTAGATCCAATGGTTCAGATCATGTCAATCCTAACTAACTTTTCTACTCTAACAAAATATAAAAACAGAAACTCGCCTTCTTCATTCTCATTCTTCAACACCCTGAAGAGTCACTAAAAATATCTGGAGAAAGCTATCTCCGTCTTCAATCTTCATCTATGAAAATCTCTCTCGTTCTTCTCCTCTCTTCATCGTTCATCACTTCTTCAACCTTCATCAACACATAACCATTCTGCAATCCCCTCCGAGTCTCCGTCAAACAATGTCAAGTCTTGATCCCGACAACTTCGTCGATTCATCGCAAAAGCTGCACTGCTTCGTCTTCAATCTGATTGTTCAGCAACAGCATCGATCTTCATCGTCATCAACCTTGGATCTTGACTCAAGGGGAAGATGTCGTCCATGGCAGCGTCGTCCTGCAAATTAGAATTGGAGAAGAGGCAGAGAAGATCGAAGGTGGTAGAAATCAGCGAGATGAACATGCGAATCCGCGAAGCGGAGAAGAGACTTAACGGTGGCTGCTGTGCCGTTTCAGCGAGGAAGAAGAGACAGTGGCATTGTTTTCATGAAGATCAAAAGCCACTTCTCTTAACCCTAACGAGACTCTCCAAAACGACTTCGTTTCTTCTTTTTATTTTTTATTGTTTTTACTAATAGTTCAATAATAAGATAATAGTCTGAGTAAAATTGGTGTTAGGCTCTGGGCGCCTAAGCCCGCTCTTTCTACACCTCTGCCATGGTCCACACACCATCTTGCTTTCTTTTAGTTCTTTTTCTAATTTCATGGTTTTTAGTATTTAAATTCTTGATTATTTTTTGTGATTTTCTTGCTGTAATTTTTTTTAGATGTTAATTTGTTAGTCCCTGACTTGATGATATTTTTTTATATAATTTTTTTATTATTTTAGAAATTAATGATTTCATACATGATTAGAATTAAGATTTTAGCGCGTCTTTATCGATTACGTATCATTGATTTAGTTTCCCTAGCATAATGAACGATTAGTGGTAGGTTATGATCCTTAAATGGGTGTTTTAGTTTTCAGTTACACTGTCTTGTTAATTGCTAACTCGTTTGGTGTATTTTTGTGCAAGCTTTCAACGGAGATTTCTCACACCATGAGACATTAGCGGAGTATTTTGCATTGTATAGTTTTGTATCTTCGTGTAGGGCTATCACATGATGACTCAGATGTATGTGATTTATTTTCACATGGAGGCTTCGACGCTTATCTTTTACATCTGATTTGATGATTACTTCTATGTTGCTTGGCGAATCTTATTCAAAGTTTTTCGGGTTTCTCTGATTTGCTTGCTGTGTGTTGTACCCCAAAATTTGCCCTTCCATTTTTATTCAAGATATTCTCCTAGGGTTCTCAAATGCTCAAGGTTGCTCGAGAATTGATCAGACAAATTCTACTCCTAAGCAATGGGTCTACAACTAGGGTTTCACTTTTCTAAAATGAGATTATATTTCTAAGGCCTCAAGAGGGTGTCATAGTTTCTTATATGTCTCCAAGAATGCTCATACCAAGTTTCATGTCTTGCATTATAAGTTTGCTCGGTCAATGGCTCAGATGACTAAAAATCAACTGTATTGGACAAAACTCAAGACTTTTGGTCAACATCAAGATTTTGAAGTCATATTCATCATTTGATCAAGGGTTGATCATGATTCATCAAGGAAACTCTCAATTCATCAAAAGTCAAAAGTTGCCAAATTAGGGTTTTCTTAATGAGAAGTCAACTGAACTTTGATCAGGCATAACTTCTACATGTTTCATCATATTTTCCTCAACCAAAGCTTGTTTTAAAGTAAATTCAATTCTCTACAACTTTGTTTCTCTAAGTTCAAGTCCAAAAAATGCTTCATTTGAGAGATATGTGCCAATACATTACAGGTCATTTGAAAGTCAACAAAAAGACACTTTTTGCCAAGGCAACTTACATTAAGAAAATTATTCAAATGCAAAAATGATCAAAATAGAGATTGTAGAGGATATCTTGAGCTTTCCAAAATGTCTATGATCACCTTCATATGATAAAAATTGAGAGAGTTATGATTGGTGAAAGTTGGTAAATTTTGAGCAAATGCATGAAATTCAAATTGAGGAAACTTGAATTTTCGGGATAATGGGATATTGTTTCAAGGTTCATGCGCGTTCTACACTTCATATAAACCTTAAATCTTACTCATGTACCCCTTGACCTTTTTATCCTATTTATTTTGATTTTTACTAATTTAAATTCAAAATAAAATAAGATAAAACAAAGTCTTATTACAAAGGTCCAAGTCCATGTTTATTTGACCTAATTTGATGCTTATATATTCTCACTAATTTAGACAAAGCTAACACGAAACCCTTGTGCAAGAAACACCATTACAAAATCTCAAAAAAAATATCTCAAACTAGGGCAATCTTAGAATTCTATTTGCAGCCACCTTCAAAGCCTTCCAACCCTTCCAATCGATTTTTGAAGAGGTATAGGATAAGAATGGATCAAATCTGGTGATCCAAAGCTCACAAAACCTGTACGCATACATCTTCGATCTCATTATTTTTTGCAAATTCATATTTCAGTTTTCATATTGTTTTAAGGCATGATAATGATATTAATGTGTTTCTGAGATCTACTAGTGTAGGATCGTATCATCATAGGAGTCACATGCTATCGGAACCATGAACTTCCATGCTTGGTCTGATCCATGTTATTTCTGCCATATCTCACAACCTAGCGTGTTTTAGCCCAAGATAGTGGTCCCATTGAATTTGCAGGCCTTGATTTAGGGGGGTAGGATCGCTCTGTATCTCTAATATCTGTTTGTTTTATAGGAACAAAAAAAGAGCCACCGGAGAAGACGATCGAAGCTAGGGCTCCGACGTTTCTCCAGTTCAGTTGTGTTATTTTATTTTATAATCAATTTATTGCAGTGATAATAATGGATGTATCACCACCCCAGTGGTTAAAATGCGCGCGTTAAGTCATTACTATGCCAAGGATTGGGTTCGATCCCAGCCTTTTGGAATTTCAGGATTCTTTTCACATTTTTTCATGTTTTGCATGTATAACATAAAATGCACTAGTTTCCATTCCTAACACCAAAGCGCGCTTGGCCTAGTGTTGAACACGCTAGATGAAAGAGCTGAGGACGTGGGTTCAACACCCACCCCTGGAAATTCTATGTTTTTTTTTCCATATTTTCATCAACATTCCCTTAAAAAACCTAAATTCATTTAACTATAAACCTTTTTTAACAAACCTAATTTTTTCAAAACTCTTTTTAATAAACCCTAATCAAATTAGGTTTTTAGGTTTTTAATTTAATTTATCAACTTTTTTAATTAAAATTAATTAGACTTTTTTTAGGTTTATTTAATCATCAAAAACCCTTTTCATCAAGAAATCATTGAAAAAACATTGTTCATTTTTTTATTCTTACATTCTTCTTTCGCGTAGTTTATTATTCTCGCATTTTTTTCGTTATTGTAACTGTTTCCTAGGATGTAATAGTAATTATGAAGATGTAAAAAACACAAGAAGGGGGGGTTGAATTGAAAACTTGAAATCAATAGCTTAATGACACAGTATTTTTATCCTGGTTCGTTTGATTTCAAACTACTCCAGTCCACCCGTCAAGGTGATTTCGTCTCTCTCCAACGAGGTCTTAATTCATTAATCTTAACAAGATTACAATCACTACTTTAACAACTGTTAAAGTCTTCTTGAGTACAACCACAATCCGGTTAATCTCAAGGAACACTGTTTCAAGACAATTATACAAGATATGTGTTGTTGTTTTTCTTACAAAAACTGTTTATCACAACTATGATAAATTACATAGGATTATAGCTTGGAAATGTAAATAATATTGCTTGCATCTTTGAATATGCGTGAGTGGTAATGTAGCAAAATAGTCCTTGATTTTGAATGCTGACTTTGTTTATATAGGCAGTGGAATAACGTTGATCATAAAGCATGTTTAATGTCATTAACACACTTTCCATTTGGAGAAGATCTTGTCTGAAAGAAGCCGTTGGAATTAATGTTGTTATGAATGATCAGTAACGCTTCAGAATCTTATCTCCTTGCGTACTGATGACGCTTCAGAACTTTGATGACTTAGATTGACACGCTCTTGTTCAGAATCAGAGTTTACTTTGATTAAGCACAGGTCCTAGTCATCAATCTTCAGCGCATGTTCTGATTAGTTCAGCGTGTAACTCTTAAGGCTTATCTTTTGATGCTGATATGATCAGAACTTCTGTATACATGAAAACATAATTTTTAGGGTGCATATTTGTTCTTTATATTTATTATTTATTCTTTGTATTTGTTATCATCAAAACTCTAACTAAGGGTTGTAGAATCAAACTATGTTCTAACAATCTCCCCCTTTTTGATGATGACAAAAACTATATTTTTCAATTAAAAATAAAGAACAAAAGGTTTAAGAGAAACTCCCCCTGAGTTGATTACTTCCCTTAAGTTCCTTGAGCATCAGAATTTAGCTGCATCTTCTATCAGAGTTTGTACTTTCTCACCCTGTTCAAACATTCTCAGAAAGTAGAGGTTAAGTAATTTAGAATGTTTGAGACTTTTGTCTCGGTAAACCATTATTGAAAATATCTTACTTTCTCCCTCTTTTTGTCAGTTATCAAAAAGGTAATATAATCAGAGCCAAAAGATAAGAATTATATTAAAAACATTAAGCAATGATAAGTTCGAGAACAGAAGAGGTAAAAATTAAGTGTTACAGATAAACAAATTTAAAACATAAATCTAAGAAGGAGGGGGAAGACGTGTGAACAACGCTTCCAGCAGGCTTTTGATCTGAGTATTAGACTCTTCTTGCTTGCCCAATATGCCTCTGATTTCCTTTGTGGTGTCTTCCTGTTTACCCAGAATGCTTTTAATCTCCTTGTTCGTGTCCTCCTGCTGATCCAACCTTGCACGAATAAGAGCATTTTCTTTCTTCAACTCTTCCAGAGTTTGCATGACTAAGGAAGGTGTTGGAGCTTCTTCAGGAGTTGGACGTTGCTCAGAGCATTTTGCAGCTTTTTCAGAGTGAACCATTGCTTCTGCTGTAACCAAGTCTTCTAGAGCAGCAATCAGGGGGAGACTTTCTGATTCTGGTTGAACTTCATCTGAGGGATGATGCTCTGTCCAAGGAGCATTATCCAGAGAAAGGATTTCTTTCTTTAACAGTGGGGTCAGAACTTGGTCTTGAAGAGCCTTCAGCTTATCACTAAAGTTCTGTTGAATCTGTTCGTAACTTTGTTCCTTCAGCTTCAGCGTTTCAGAACTAAGCCAGTTTATGAATCTTGTCCACAGATAATCAGAAGCAGTAGGATTAGTCATCTCTTGACTAGCATGCTTCAAAGAAGTTATCCATTCATGCATTCTTGTTTCAAAAATCAACAAATTTGTACTAACATCTGATGGGTCTGATGTGGTTTCAGTTGGTTTGGGAATGGTAGTTTTGAGAGATGTGGAGGTTAGTCTTTCCAGCAAGATTGGATCAACGAAAAGTCTCAAATTTTCAGCTGGACGACTAGTAGGTGAAGGAGTGGTATAGTCAGGTATAATGATTGGTCTAGTGGGGGTGTTTGGAGGAGTGGATTCCAG